GTCTAGAAACAGTGCTTTCCCCACAGTGGGAGCTTAATAAAGGTTTTCTAGCATTTAATTGAATCATTTAATATATGTATGTTTATAATATATAATATCATATATGATGTTATATTTGTGTTATATATTATTATATGATACATATCATATACATACATATATGTATATACACATATACACACACGGTGCATTGTTGTTGTTGTTGAGTCACTTTTCAGTCATGTCTGACTCTCCGTAACCCCATTTGGGTTTTCTTGGCAAAGATACTAGTGTGGTTTGCCATTTCCTTCTCCAGCTCATTTTACAGATGAGGAAACTGAGGGAAACAGTGAAATGACTTGCGCAGGGTCACACAGCTAGTAAGTGTCTGAAGCCAGATTTGAACTCAGGAAGATAAGTCTTCCAGACTTCAGGCCCGGCACTCTATCCACTGCGCTACCTAGCCCAGAGGGAAAATTGAGACCCAGAGAGGGCAAAGCTCTGCCCAACCTCACACAGTAGCAGCATTGGGGTGAGAATGGAGATCCTATGTTTCCCAGGCCCCTTGTGACTCTGCAGTATCTCCTCTTCCCATTAGGAGAACCAGCATTCGGCTTTAACAAATTGAGCCTGGGGCTGACTCAAAGTTCATCTCCCCCAGTTGAGGTTCAGTCTATGATTTCCAATGACTGAGGATTTTCTAGATTGAGATAGTTGGGGGGAAGTAAAATGATATGTGGATGAAGGGAGAGACAAAGAGGAGGACTATTGTAGAATGAATAACAACATGATATGCTTTGTGTGGAAGCAGCTGGGGGCCATAGTGGATAGATAGGACACTGGACCTAGAGTCGGGAAGATCTGTGTTCAGATCTTGCCCCAGCTCCTTACTGACTGTGTGACCCTGGCATGGTAATCTTGAAGCATTGTTTTCAGGATCAAATGAGATCATATAAAGCACTTTGCAAATGTTAAGGCACTATATAAGCATTAGCTATTTTAGATATTATTCTGTCTAATGACCTTACTAGACTGTAAGCTTTGTGAGTAATGGCCAGGTCTTATCTGAACTGTGTATCTTGCACAGTAACTAGTTCAGTGGTCACTACATATGAAGTTTATCAGGTAGATGAGTGAGTAAGCAAGTGAGTTCAGATTCAGGGGACCTCATGTTCAGTTCAATTCAACATCTCTTTATCATATACTATCCTATGGACTGGGGAGACAAAAAAAATCACATTGCCTCTGTCTTCAGTGACCTTACATTCGACAGTGGGTGCTATGGTTGTAATGTAGGGTAAAAGAGAGACCAATACAAACATGCTCGGAGAATTTGATGAAGAAATGATTTACAACTGGGAGATTAAGGAAGGCTGCACAGAGAAGGTGGTACACGAGCTGAGTTTTGAAGGATCCTAAGGATTCCAAAAAGCAGAAGCAAGGAGGCAGTGCATTCTAGGAATGGTGGACATGCTGTGCAAACTCATGGGAGTGAAAGCTTTCATATTGAGGGAATAGGTAATGGTCCAGTTGGGCTAAAGTATAGTGTCTGAAGGAGAATAGTCTGAATTTAGACTGGAGAGGGAGATGGAAGAGATTGTGAAAGCCTTAAATGTTAGGCCAAGTAATTTTTTTCCGAAAAGTAATGGAGACCCACAGATGGTTTGGGGACTGGGGTGGGGGAGAAAGAGAAGGAGATAAGTATTTATGTAGCACCTACTATGTGCCAGGCACTAGGTACTAGGTTGAGATATTTGGGGGGAAGTAAAATGATGTGTGGACCAAGGGAGCAATGGTAGAGTACTATTGTGCTTTTTACAAATGTTATTTCATTTGATGCTCACAACATTCTCATGCTGTTATTGTCCCCATTTAACAGTTGAGGCAACCAAGGTAAACAGAGATTAAGTGACTTGCAGTCACATGGCTATTAAGTGTCTGATGCTGAATTTGAACTCAGGTTTTCCTGACTCCAGGTCCAGTGCTGAGTTCACTACACCAACTAGCTGTCTCAGTAGCTATATAGTCAGCCTTGGGAAGGTTATTTTGGTGTATGTATGGAGGATGGTTTGGAAATGATATAAATTGGAGGCAAAGAGACCAATTAGGAGCTTGTTACAACAGTCCAGGCAAAACATAAGAAACTGAACCTGAAATTGGAACACTAATACATTGTTGGTGGAGTTGTGAACTGATCCAACCATTTTGGAGAGCAATTTGAAACTATGCCCAAAGGGCTATAAAAATGTGCATGCCCTTTGACCCAGCAATAGCACTTCTAGGGCTATATCCCATAGAGATAATAAAAATGGGAAAAGGACCCACACGTACAAAAATATTCATAGCAGTTCTTTTTGTGGTGGCTAAGAATTGGAAATTGAGAATACCCATCAATTGAGGAATGGCTGAGCAAGTTGTGGTATATGAATGTAATGGAATACTTTTGTGCTATAGGAAATGATGAACAGGCTGACTTCAGAAAAACCTGGAAAGACTTGTATGGTCTGATGCTGAGTGAAGTGAGCAGAACCTGGAGAACGTTGTACACAGTAATAGCCATGTTGTGCAATGACTAATATTGATAGACTTAACCCTTCTCAGCAATACAAGGATCTAAGATATCTGCAAAGGCCTCATCATGGAAAATGTTATCCATATCCAGAGAAAGAACTATGGAATTTGAATGCAGATTGAAGCATACTATTTGCTGGTTTTTTTCTTCTGTTGTGTTTTGTTTCCTCTTTCTGGTGGTTCCTCCTATTGGTTCTAATTCTTACTTACAACATCACTAATGTGAAAATATGTTTAATAGGAATGTACATGTATAGCCTATATCAGATTGTGCACCATCTTGGGGAGGGAGGTGGGAAAGGAGGGGGAGAAAAATTTAAAACTCAAAAGCTTATGGAAGTGATAGTTGATAAATCAAAATAAATTAATTTAAAAAAAAGAAAAATGAAAAAATTGAGTAAGTGGTCCACATTAATGTACTCACAGTGGACCTCTATGTACTTATTCCTTTGATGTTGCCTTTGCTCTAAACATTTTGGTAGCCTTTTTTAAAAATTGCATTCAAAGCCAGATATAAAACTCAAAAAATTAATTAAATAAATATAATTAAATAAAACTCAAAAAAAAAAAAAAAAGAAGAACCTGCCTGACAACAAGTTGTATTAGTCTTCTGGAAACCAAGATAGCATCACTACCAAATGAAAGATTGCTGGCCTTGAAGAAAGGGGGCTCTGATAAAAGATCCCACACCTCATTCCCTTTGCCTTTGATCTCCCCTTTCCTCTTCTCTCTTCCTTTTCCCTTACTCTTCCTCCCTTCATATCCCGCCTTCCTGCATGTTTTCATTACATGTTCTAGACCACATGATCTCCAGAGACCATACCCTGGATATACTCAGCTTTGGAAATGCTATCCTGAGTCTGAGATGTTCTGATTGGCGAGTGAGGGAAGCAGACCACACTTCACGTCTTATCATTAATTTACCCTCGTTGCCCTCTTGCCATCTACTCTTCTACCATGTGAAGAGTACCCTGTGCCTCCACTACCATTGCTTCTGGAAAGGGCAGTGCCAATTGATTCTCCTGTGGTCCTATTTTCCATCCTCATAACTTCACAGACCAAAACTCCCTTCCCTGGTCACCATTGTCCTATGTGTTGTCTCTTCCTACTAGAACGAAAGTTCCTTGAGAGTAGGGACTGACTCAGTCTTTTATTTGTGTCCCGGTGCTTTGCATATAGTATTTTGTAAATGCTTTTCATGTATTCCTTCTTTCTCCTTCTCTATTTCCCCTTTATTGTTCATTCTTCATCTTTCTTGCCCCCATTTAAACTAAACCCCTCCAAAGTATTTAGATGTCACAAAATCATTTTTTCCCCTTCTTTTGATACCTACCTCTGTGGGGGTGGATCTAAGTTTCAGAAGCAAGTGAGCTAGGATCTCTCACACATAAGAGATTTTCACCCAGGTAACATTTTCACCTGTCAGTGTTGGGATTTATCCTGTAATGGATGATTCAGAGCTGAGGGTTTGGGCAGTTGATAGGATGATTTCCCTTCTCCCTAAGGCATTTTTAGAAGAGCCCAGTGAGCTCTTGCATTAACATTGTTGTTAATGCTGTAGCATAAATCTTATACCAAAAATAGACTTGTAAGAATTGAGAGTGCTCTGCAGGTGGGTGGGTTGTTTCCATCATGCTGTGTGGGAGGAAGAGTACTGGACTCTGAGCCAGAAGCTGTGAATTTGAGGATTTGGATTAGCTTTGTGACCTTGGGGAATGTACTTGACCCTTCTGAGTTGATTTTCTTATCTGTAAAATCGGGATGATTGCCTGTCTTATTTAACCTTATCATCAGGGCTGGCATAATGCTTGAATGAGGTAAGGTGTGGAAGCTGTTTGTCAACCATGAAATATGATTGTATTGATAGTGTCCCCCCAATACCTCCATTTCTTCCAAAATAGAGAAATATTGTTTTGTGAATTCTCTCCACCCTTCTAAATAGAAAGTACTGTTGAAAGGTATCCATCTCATCTGTCCCATGTGCAAGGTCCTTGAAATACATTCTTACCTGTAGAAAATTCTTAGGCCTCTTTGAACAGCGCAATTCTGGAGTGGTATCCTCAAAGTTGTTCCACTGTTGGTAGTATCATGGGATCATTAATTTCAAGCGGTAAGGGACCTTCGAGATTACCTGGCCCAAGTGCTTCACTTTACAGAGGAGGTTACTGATGCCCAGAGAGGTGAAGGGACACACTCATGATCACCCAACTAGTAATTCTTAGCACCAGAATTTGAACCCATATCCTCTGAGTCCAACTACAGTGCTCTTTCTGCTATATCTCTGCACCTTACTAAATATTGAATTAGGAGCTTTGTCTTTCTCTAGGATTCTTCTGCTGGTGGGACCCAAAGAAAAGGAATTGGGGTAGCAGTTGAGGACTATTGAAAGTTTGGTTTCTACTGTCATGTTGGTGGAAGCATCTTAGAATGACTTTGCATTTCCTTTTCAGATTAGCAAGCTCTGTGCCCATTCTCAGCAGCGGCAATATAGATCAGCTTATTATCCTGAAGATCTGTTTATTGACAAGAGAGTATTAAAAGTTGCTCATGTAGAACATGAAGAAACCTTATCCAGCAGGAGGAGGTGAGAATTTTTTTGTTCTATTACAACACACAATTGGGGATTGTGTCTTAAGGTTAAAAAATAATCTCGGAGAGAAGCTTTGTAAATGCACATTGTACAACCCTTCCAAGCAAAGTGTGTGATTAATTAAATTGTGTCATCTGGGCATTTTAAAAGAAAGCTCAGGTAGCAGCATTATATCATAGCCAGCCTATTCTCATGAATTTGTGGAATGTGAGAGCTGAAAAAGACCTTAGCACTTATCTGGCTCCTGGATAGCAAACACGTGGCCATATGTGGCCCACAATGCTCCTGCCTGTGGCCAGAACCGGATTAAAATGTATTCATGTTATTCAACAAAACAGAAATACAATAAAATTAAAATTAAAATTAAAATGTATTCATGTTATTCAACAAAACAGAAATACAATAAAATTACATTTTAAAACTTAGTATGCAGCCTTCAGGGAATCTTGGGTATGGTTTCTATCCGAGTTTGACACCACCGTTCTAGCCTGACCATCTCATTTTGTATATGAATAAATGGAGGCAGAGAGAAGCTGAGGACTTGTCCAAAGTCTCACAGCTACTACGGTACCATTATGTATAATTATCAGAGGAATACAGGGTACGGTATTTAGAGTAGGCTCCTTCAGGTATATTTGTAGATTAAATCATAAAATGTCAGAGCTACCGGGGACCTTAGCAACCATCTCATCTGGTTGTTAGGAGGTTGTATGGAAAGAAAAGTAGATTTGGACAGCTGGCTGGAATCCTAGTTCTGTTGCTTTCTACCTGTGTCTGGCCCTGACCGAGTCCTTCTTTTCTCTGGGTCTCAGTTTATTCATCTGTCAAATGAGAGATTTGGACTTGGTGACCTTGCCTGCCATTTGGCATTAAAGTCTATGAACCTCCTTGATTTATACGGGAGGATACTGAGCCCCAGAGAGGGACCAGTGAGTTGCACAAGGTCACAAAGCTAGACTGGCCTTGAGCCCAGGTCTCCTGATTCCCAGCCCAGTGCTCATAAAACATTTTATGCTAGGAGTCTGGCTGGGCTGGGATTTTTTTAAATGACAGTTTTGGCTGCTCCCATTGGGAACAACAATGCCTTGTGGAGGCATTAGCTCCAGACTGGCTTGGACACAAAGAAGCCGAGTGAGTATACATGCACCGACACACCGCTCTGACTTGAGGCTGCAATCGATCGACTGGTTTGAAGAGAGCCTCTTGGTTCTTAACTCTTAGGACTGCAGTTGAAGGACTGAATAACAAGTAATGTAACAAAGGTTGTGGCAGCTAGAAGAAAGCAGCAGAGTATAGTGGAAAAACCCTAAATTAGGACTCAGAAGACCCAGCTTGGAGTCTCAGCTCTGCTACTAGCTGGCTTTGTGTCCTTGGATCATAGGAGGATAGGATTTTAAAAAAATTCAACAACTGTTCATGCATTTGTCATGCCTGTTGTGTGCAAGGCACTGCCGGGGTTTTAAAAATGTCTAATGAATGCTTTTAAAAGTTGGCCATTGGCAGTCAGAGCAACTGTACACTCAGTGTTGGGAACCTGAAAGAAGTGTCCCTTCCTTTGCCCAGATGCTGGGGGTTAGAAAAGCAGAAACACAGTCACACCTTTTGGCAGAGAGGCAGTGGACAACGGGTATAAAATACGGCCAGCACTGGCAGACGCGGCCGGTGGGTCCATTTGTTTCGCTTAACTGTACTTCTTTATTAAGAAAAAGGGTCCTTACTGGGGAGGAGGGGGATCTATTGGCAAGTGACGATTTTTTAAGAGTATCAATGAAAAATGACAAAAAAAAAGGCAAATTCATGACACCAGAGGGCCCCCCCGAAGAAGGCTTCTAGAATCCCTTTAGACAAGCGACTGAAACAGCCCGTCCTCAGTCTGGACACAAAGGCTGCCTCACACCCCCTCCTTGGAAGTGGCAGAAAAATTGACATTAGCACTTTGAAATCTCACTCAACAGGCAGAGCAGTCCTTGCCTCCCCTACCTCTAAGGAAAGTTGGCCCCATTTTGTAGTTGAAGGCAAGAAAGATTTGGCAAAAAAAAAAAAATGGGAGGGGAGGGGGGTGGGGAGCCTACTGCTTAGCTCAGATCCTCTTCTTTCCTTCAGAGATCATCTATGGTTATACCTTTGTGAAATTTATTGTGATAGGATCATAGGACTGGAGATTTAGAGTTGAAATGGACCTCAGAGACCATGTAGTCCAAAACCAGCCCCTCTCCCCCATTTTATAAATATGCAAACTGAGGCCCAGGCAGATGAAGTGAGCTCACTCAGGTAGTAAACAACAGAGCTGGGATTGTAGGATTTAGAACTGGAAGGGCCTTAGATATTTTCAAGTTCCTCATTTTCAATATGAATAAACTAGTGGCCCAGAGAGAGGAATGTGTTTGCTCCAAATCACACAGGTAGTCAATAACAAAGACAAAATTCAGCCTCGGATTCTTTGGCTCTAAATAGAACATCCTTTTCACTACATCATTTTGTGCAATTCAGTCCAGTGGCGGTGGGGAGGAGTGAAGCTGTGCTGATGTTTTCCTTCTCTTAGATATTTGGGGGATTTCTCTTGGCAGCCAGTAGATGTGTCTGTCAGTTACACTGTAGTCTCTACACAGTGTTCTGCTTGTTCCACATCGCCCTACCCCACCCCCATCCCCCATCGCCATTTCAATTGAAAAGAGAAGAAAGGAAGGGGCCATTGTCGTCACCATCCCTGTGGCGCAGGGGCTGCGTGTGGCGGAGGCAGCCTGTCTGGATCTGATTATGAGCTGCAAAGCTGCTCATCTGTCTTATTAAAAAGCCCACTTGCACAGGAAGGAGTATGGCCTTTGGCTGTCTTTAAAAGTCATCTGTTTGAGTTGCCTGCCCCCATCTGGGTGCTTTGAGACCCACATCACATTTGGGGAGTAGCTTCATTGTGTTTCTAGTAGATTGATGATTTTCAATATTCTTTTTGCGCAAATCAGGCCTCTCAACAGCACTATTACTGAGAATTCTCTGTTATAATAAGATGGTGCCCAAGTAAGAATGTTTCATACTACAGGTGAGGCTTTTCTTTGAGGAGCCGTGTTATGGTCAGGGCGGCATCTTCCCTGCTCCACTGGCATATATCACAACCCTACCCTGCCTTTGTTAGATGATCTTTGAAAGATGCTGTGGCCACAAAAGTACCACCTCTACTGCCAATTTGGAGATAAGGCTCTCTGGACGCTGCCAGGGTTGGTCCTTGGACACTAAACATGCAGCCCATCTCTGGTCCAGACTCAAAGCTTCTTTTTCCTGCCTAGTGGGCCCTGTCAGAATTTGTGTTCAATGGACACAAGCTTCAAGAGCCCAAAAGTATACCTCCATGCCTGAGGACTAATTGGGAAGATGTCTTTGTTGTGGGGCTTTGTTGAATTTTTTTCCCATTGTGTAATGGAAATAATGCTGGATTTGGATTCATAGGGCCTACCTACCTTCTCCTGCTTATTGCCTGTGTAACCTTAGGTATATCACTTAACCTCTCTGGGCCTCAGTTTCCTCTCCTGTAAAATGAAGCAGCTGGACTACAGTAATCTCTAAAGTCCCTTCTGGCTTTAACTATTATGACCTACAGGACCTAGAACCCTCCTAATTTAGCTTTATTATTGAATTCCCACCTGTCCTTTAATGTCCAACTCCAGTATTATAACATTGGATTTGGAGACAAAACATCTTAGTTCAAAAAAAAAAAAAGGAAAGAGAAAAGCTAACATTTATGTAGTGGCTGCTATGCACCAGGCACTGTGCTAATAAGCACTTTACAATTATTATCTCATTTGATCTTCACAACCACCCTGGGAGTTAGGTGCTGCTATTACCCCCATTTTACAGATAAGAAAAATGAGGCAAATAGTGGTTAAGTGTCTTGCCCCGAGTCACACAGTTAATAAGTATCTGAGGGCAGATTTGAATTCAGGTCTTCCTGATTCCAGGCCCAGCACTCTATCTGCTGCCACCACCTAGCTGCCTTGTTACTGCCTGTGTGACCTCAGATAAGTCCCTTAATAACTCTAAACCTTAGTTCCTTCATCTGTAAATAAAGGGGTTGAACTTCCAACTGTAAATCTATGACCCTGTAGTCCATTCTCATGTTAAGAATCTTTAAGTCATTCCATTTCAGATACTATTGAATTGAAATCTTAAAAAAAAAAGAAACTCCTGACATTTAAGGATTTCTTCCACCCTTACATATGGAGGGCATCTTGCTATCCTTTTTCATAGAAGATTAATTCATTTGCCAAGATCCTCTACTTTCTTTTGGCAGAAGTAGAGGGAGATGATTTTGTTTCTCATGGACCACTGACTCCATGTTCTCTTTGTTGTGGACATTCTAATGTTACATAACCCATTAAGTCCAACCCATTAAGGCCCTCCCCTCCTAGGTCACTCTTGTCCATGTCTATGAGTTTCCGCAGATGAGATGCCACCATGCCAGAAAACCTTCTCTGTTTCTTCATAATTTCTTCTTGTTCCACTATAGCCAAATACTTAGAGGTTTGAACTCTGAACTTTCTTTGGTTCTCTTTGCCAGAATCCATCATAAGTAGGAGAAACTAAAAGGGTTAAAAAGAAAGAAGGTTAGTTATGTCCTTTCTTATGCTTCCAGGAAAACCCAGATTATCATGTCAACATCCTAACTGGTCTCTTTGCCTCTCATCACTGCTCACTCCCATCCATACTTTATTCAGTTTCCAAAATATTTCTGACCATTTCATTCCCTTGCTCAAAAATCATTAGTAGTTCCCTATTAGGGCAGCTAAGTGGCACAGTAGATAGAGCGCTAGGCCTGGAGTTAGGAAGACTCATCTCCCTGTGTTCAAATCTGGCCTTAGGCAATTACTAGCTCTGTGACCCTGGGCAAGTCACTTCACCCTGTTTGCCTCAGTTTCCTCAACTGTAAAATGAGCTGGAGAAGGAAATGGCAAATGACTCCAGTATCTTTGTCAAGAGAACCCCAAATGGGGTTGAAAAATGAT